AGTGATTTTGTTTCAATTGATTCAATTCTTTGAAAATGGTATAACACTTGGTTTATATATCATGGGCACAATGTGTAATTTTAAATTGTCTTAGGAAGTCCTCAAACAATTCCTAAGACAATTTAAAATTAATCTTGGAAAAGAGCATTTATGTCAAGTCCTTGGTTTTATGGTTAATTCATAATCAACCCAAATTTTAATCCCATTAAATATTCCAACTCTTTAGAATAAAACCAATGCACTTTTGTCCCCATTATTGAATCCGATTCAATAATAATATTTAATAAATCCTTATTACCCTTGGTTAGTGCTAGCTATCCATGGATAATTATTTCTCACCAATACATTAATTCGAATGCAACTATTTACGTCCGAACATCATTAATCTGATTAATTATATGTATTACTCTCTCTCCTTGAGCTTGGTTTTATGTGTGACCATTTTGTTTCACTATGATCTAGTCATGGGCCCAATATATGTTTCGTTATAACTCTTTATAACTCTTTATAATTGAAACTCCCATTGATTATGGTAGACGTCTAGCAATGTTCCATAACCCCTAAACCACATTGAAGTGTAATGGTTCATGGTATGTCAAAACCCTTAACTTAATCTTTAATCAAATTGTCAATCGATACAATGGAACTCGTCAACATGAAACTACTTGTCATCTGACATTCATTATACTCTGGCTAGAGATTTCCCTTTTCTAATGTTTATTGACATTCGTCTAGGAACTCGAGATTGAACTATTTTGAGTTAACGGATCCCATCTTGATCATCACTTGTCCTCGCACATGAATAACATATGACCAAACAGGCTTATTATACAAGACATGATTAGTCTCGTGCTTATACACCATATGAACCATATGCATCCTATGTTGAATTCAACTGTGATGTCTCAGATCTAAGGATCAGTAGTACACTAGCATGATCCTATAATACATCATTGACCACATCCATGTGATTCATCGTAATCGGTCCTTTTCGATAAATAGTTCACTAACCGTTTATCCATGCTAATGTCTTAGTGACACACCTCTTATAATCACCCATACTAATATCATCACATGATATTCAATGGAGACATTCAGCATGCCTACTATGCAATGTTATTGCCCAATTAATATTAATTGCATAGGGAATTCTTCAATGATCTGATCTTCTGAAGATCCGTGTCATCCGGACATTTCACATGCAGTATTAATTATAATATAAATGAAGCAGTAAATCAACATGTAAAATAAGAACACTTTCTTTTATTCATAATACTTTTACAAGATACAATGTCCTTAAACCGATAACACGATTGGTTCCTAGGGCATACACTAACAAAACTCCCACTTGTACTAGAGCCAATCGCTGTAATATCTAATACCTATCTTCTCAAGATGATAGTCCAACTGCTTTTGTGTTATCTCTTTAGTGAGTGGGTCAGCTACATTCTCTGCTGAAGGTGTTTTCTGCACTAGAATTTCTCTTACTCTAGCAAATTCTCTTAAAATGTGATATCTACTTTGAATATGTTTTGACTTCTGGTGCACCTTTGGCTCCTTTGCCTGTGCAATAGCACCAGTATTGTCACAGTATAGGGTTATCGGATAAACCATGTTTGGAACAACACCAAGTTCAATCATGAACTTGTGCATCCAGACAACTTCCTTTGCTGCTTCTGAAGCAGCAATGTATTCAGCTTTTGTAGTGAAATCGGTAGTAGTCGACTGTTTTGAACTCTTCCAACTGACTACACCTCCATTGCATGTGAAAATGAACCTGGATGTAGACTTTCTATCATCCACATTTGATTGAAAATCAAAATCAGAGTATCCATCAATTTTCAACTGTGAACCTCCATAACTTAGTATTAGATCCTTAGTTCTTCTTAAGTACTTAAAGATCGTCTTAATAGGTGACCAGTGTTTTTCCGCTGGGTCAGACTAATATCTGCTTGTAACACTCACAACATTTGCAATATAAGCCTAGTACATAGCATAGCGTACATGAGACTACCTACGGCTGAAGCATAGGGTATCCCATGCATCCGCTCATGCTCCTAATCAGTCTTTGGACTCATATCTTTTGAAAGATGAATTCCGTGACTGCAAGGCAAAATTCCCTTTTGAAGTCTTGTATGCTGAACTGTTTCAACATTTTTTCTATGTACATCTTTCGGGATAAACCTATTAATCATTTCGTTCTATCTCTATAGATACAAATTCCTAGGATGTAGGTCATTTCTCCTAAGTCTTTCATGGAGAAAGTTCTAGATAACCACAACTTAACTTTAGTCATCATCCCAATGTCATTTCCCATCAATAGTTTGTCATCTACATACAGTATGAGAAATATGATTGCATGATCCTTTTATAACATAGGGTTCATCTGGATTCTTTATAAAACCAAACGTTTTCATTATTTCATCAAACCGGATGTTCCAGCTTCTTGAAGCTTGTTTTAACCCGTAAATGGATTTATGCAGCTTGCACACTTTATTTCTTTCAGAACTGGATACAAAACCTATAGGTTGTTGCATGTAGATATTTTTCTCAATAAATCCATTGAGGAATGCTGTTTTGACATCCATTCGCCATATCTCATAATCATAGTGTGCAGTTGTGTCTAGCATAATTCTGATTGATTTAAGCATAGCGACTGGTGAGAAAGTTTCCTCATAATCCAACCCTTGCTTTTTAGTATAAACTTTTGCAACTAGTCTTGCTTTGTAGGTCTCTACCTTTCCATCTTTGCCAATAACCTTTTGCAACTAGTCTTGCTTTATAGGTCTCTACCTTTCCATCTTTGCCAATCTTTCTCTTGAAGATCCATTTACATCCAATAGGAACTATGCCTTCAGAGGATCAACGAGAGTCCATACTTGATTAGCATGCATGGATTCTATCTCAGAATTCATAGCTTCTAGCCATTTTCCATAATCGTTATCTAATATCGCTTCTTCATAACTTCTAGGATCATCCCCATGACTGACTTATCCAATCATGATAGATTCAAAAATCTCTTCATGAAGTAATTCATATCTTTCTGGAGGTTGAGATACTCTAGATGATTTACGAACCGAAACCGTTTTAGGTATTAATGTTTCCTGAGAGGGACCACCCATCTGAGTATTTTAGGTCTAAGGCTCCCCGAACTCTTCCTATAGCATAATTTTTCTTCCCGCACCACTCTCTTCTAAGAAGTCTTTCTCAAGAAAGTGTGCATTCCTACTTATCGAAATTCGTTGATCAATGTGAAAGTAAAAATAATATCCCAAACTATTTTTGGGATACCCTATAAACTAACCTTTCTCATATCTAACGTCCAACTTGTCTATCTTGACAATCTTGACATAAGCTGGACAACCCCAAATTCTCATATATTTGAGACTAGGAGGTTTACCATACCACATCTCATATGGTGTCATCTCAATAGATTTAGATGGTACCCTATTCAGAATATGCATAGCGGATTCAAGGGCAAATCCCCATAGTGACGTTGGCAAGTCCGTAAAACTTACCATCGACCGTACCATATCCAATAAAGTACGGTTCCTCCTTTCAGACACACCGTTATGTTGCGACGTATACGGAGAAGTCAACTGGGACATTATACCATTCTCCTTTACAAAATCTTGAAATTCTGTACTTAAGTATTCACCACCACGATCTGATCGTAGAGACTTAATACTCTTTCTAGTCTGTTTCTCTACTTCATTCTTAAACTCTTTGAACTTTTCAAAGGATTCAGATTTGTATTTTATTAAATACAAATACCCGTACCTAAAAGAATCATCGGTAAAGGTAATGAAATATTGAAAACCTCCTCGAGCCATTTCATTAAATGGTCTGCATATATCTGAATGTACAACCTCTAATAATTCTTTGGATCTTTCCCCTTTAGCCTTAAAGGGCGATTTGGTCATTTTTCCTTGAAGACAAGATTCACAAGTTGGTAGGGTTATAAACCCAATAGGCTTAAAAGCCCATTTGCTTCTAACCTGATTATCCTTTTATCTCCTGTATGACTTAACCCAGCCTGGCTCACAGCATAACCCACCGGGTTAGGGTTGGCGGGCCAGGTTTAGCCCGACCCGCCAAAACCACTAACCCGCCGTGGGTCGGGCAAGTTACTTTTCCAACATTATTCACATCCAACGGTCAATTTCTCGATAGTCCTCTTCATTGTCGTGTTTTGGTGAGATCGCCCATTTTCTCAATTTGAGTGTTTCCTATTAAAATCTATTTTGTTAGGATGATGATTGGTGATATTGTTATAGCCTATAGTTTTATCTAGAAAAGAAATTGTTGTACCCATTATCTATTACAGTGGAAGTTGATATCGGACTACGGTCCCGTGGTTTTTCCCATTTGGGTTTTCCACGTAAAGTTTGTGTCTTGGTTGCAATTGATTGATCTTGTATTTTGCTGGTGGTTTGATTTAAATTATTGGACTAATTTTGTGAACCCATTTAAATCACAGAAAGTGGGAAAATTCATTTTCTTAGATTGTTCACTGCACCCGGTTCAGTTTTTATCCCAAGAGAATGTTGGACAATTCCTTGCCATTTGGATTCACTGCTCAAGTATGAATTTTGTGCCTCCTGAAAGATACGGAGACAGACACAAAACATTGCTGAAATTTTCCTAAGGATTTGCTCTAAAAGTATAAACTTCTTTTAGAATTAACAAGAAAATGACAACGCTTTTAGATAAATAAATAAAACCTTCATAAGTTTGTAAACATAAGAATCGAAAGCTTCAAAGTAGACATAAATTTAGTCACATACTATTGATTCAACATATGAAGCTATTATGGAATTTTTTTTAAAATATAAAGGCACTAGAAAAGCTCTCTCTTAATTCCTCATTTAAAACATTACGAGATTAACTGACATGTGATCAGCATATGCACTCTTGCAAGCCATGCCTCTTTTCACTTGCAAAATCTCCAATACATCACTTCATGCTAATCACATATATGAAACATGGTTTTAGTTTCATTTATAACAACTTTCATATTCTTTTTCACTTTTGAAACGTGTTTTAGATATCCAAAGTTCATTGCATTTCCGCTTTACACACCAGCATAATTCATGCCTGAGACTCAGTGAAATGTTGCACTTCGATTCCCAGTTGCTGGGAAAGCAAAACAGTTTTTACCTAGTGAAAGTTCTTTCGTTCCCTCATCTTTTTGGCTTTGACTACCAGCTGAAATTTTCTTCTTATCCCCAGAAACACGTGGGTTCTTTTGGTTTTTTCCAAGTTACCATGTGTTGATTCCTCTTCATTTACATCATCTTCCAACATTATAACATCTTCGGTATTAGACCTAGCAGACGGCTCAGGAGGAGGTTCCTCAGATTGAACTTCTAACACTGGACTCTTCTGCGACAGGTTTTGGCTGTTCCCCACTGGCAAATGATGAGGGATTGAAGGTTCTTTGAAGATGTAACAGGCTCCACCTTGACCTCTTTAACTGCTTTTGGCTGTTCATCCCTGGTAGAAAATGAGTGGAATGGTAGATTCACCGAAGATCTAATCTGATCCAATTTGATCTCTTCCCTGTCCTGATTAAAATGAACAGCTAATTAATAAAAATACAATTGAATGAAACCGTATTTTAGTTATGGATTGCACCGATTAAAAATGAAGATGACATCCATGCCAGTATTTGTCTCTCTACTTTGACATGAGATATGAATGTCAGACTCCTCTTCACCATTTGTTTCAGGATGCCCCAAAGATCCTAGTCCTTTTCAGTCAGGTTCTGTAACAGTGCTTCCAAATTTCAAAGAAGGTGGTAGATGTGGAATGATACTAGCATTGAATTTTTCACCACCAACACGTTCTATTGTAACATTTGAATTTTCATATTTGTGGAAGCCTCAGCGACCAAAGCTTCAGTTTTACTTCAGAAGCCTCAATATGTGGATGCTTCAATTTCAATAATTGGCATAACTTGCTGGAGTAACAGGTATCTGTTTGGCTTTTATCACAAGAAAAAAAAAAAAAAAAAAAAAGAATCAGGTCGAAACTCAACGAATGAGTGTTATAAATAACAAAGACATAATTTTAGTTGAAGGAAAATTGGAGCAGTTTTTATACCAACTTCAAGAAGAGTTTTGTTAGGCAAAATATAACCAGTACTTTCATCCTCTGTACAGACAACAACATCTCGCCATTGACAAAGGCCCTGCAAACCATTTAAGTTGGGACCTATAAGAAAATGAAGTAGACATGTATACACAAATATGTTATAACCATATAAGTAGGTTATAATAATGTGACAATCAGTTGATCTTCCAAGTATCATCAAATCATCAAATCATCTAAAAAATTAAAAGTATAATCCTAGAGACAACCATACAGATGATTATGGTGCCATTTGAGGCTTGTCAAAGATGTCAAAGAAAAGTCTCTGTGTTGTAGATGGTTCATTTCCTGTGGTTTACAACCCTCATGCATATAAGATGGATAAAATAAATAAATAAATAAAAACAACTTATTGCAACAATGGCACGCTAGTGAGCATTCAATTCAGTCCCCTGCAACCTATTTCAACATAGGAAAATAAGTAGCTACTGATTAATTTCTATTCAAAAAATGATAAAACAAGAGATGTAAATAAAAATTTTAGTACAAGATATTAAATTCGAGCAGGTAGCTGTCATATTAAAATAAGATAATAAGGAACTAACCCATATATATAGAGATATGAATTCTCTGTCAGAAACTCTTTTTCATAAACCTGCATGCAATTATCGTAACTACACTTGTAGGCCTGTTTGCAAGTGAAATTTGCTCAATATGATGAAATTACAGTCACTAATGGAAAATAAATAGAAAGAAAAATTACAAATCCCCACCAAACTCATGCTTCTCAATACTTTTACTTGGAAGGGAAATGAATCAAACTTAAAAATTTCATAAGTACCTAACCCAACGAAAAGTAGTCCCATGAAGTTATTTTATGATTGAAAATGTTTGAAGAAGTTGGATTGAAACAATCACTTTCTGAAAAATCTAGGCAGTGTACCCAAGACAATGAGACATGAGGGAATGTCAAACAAAGACTTCATTAAGTCAAAAAAGGTTGAAAAACAAAGATAGCTTATATTATCGACATTCTACTCTCAATGATGCACAAGCAGAAACAAGGATCAAAATGAAGGTCAGAACAAGCTCTAACACATGTGAACTGTTATTTTGTCTAGCATGTACCCCTGTTAGTAGAAGTAAAAGTAGAAAGAGATATACAAAACTTTATAACAAAATAAATAATAAACTTAAAAATGAATTTCAAAATTTTAGGAATAATTCATTGCACTTAACCAGACATATGGGCTGTAGATAAAAAACCGATTTTTTAACTTCACAGTACATTTTTAGACCATAATTAGGGTTTACAAACAAAATTGATGGGTTTTAAACCAATATGAAAAACATAGTGCTGAAACTATTTATTTTACAATTCTTGAAGTTTTGCAAGAATATTTATTAACTGATAGAGTTGTAGCGCTAACGCTTGATAATGCAGCTGCTAACACCGGGACAATCTCTTTATTGAAAAGAGATTGGATCCACGTGGTGAAGGCAAATTTTTTCACCAGAGATGTGCTTGCCACATCATTTATTTGATAGCTAAAGCAGGTTTAGATGCTATACATTCGAAGATAGAGAGGGTGCGTGCAACTATCGGATTTAGTCCGCGGTAGCAATAAAAGATGGCAAGAGGACGTCAAATATTGTAAGCAAGAGGACCTATCGGTTTGACACTTTGAAGTTATGTACAGACATGCCCATCCATTGGACTCCACCTACTGATGTTGAAAAAGCTTTGCCAACCCCGAAACAAATTACAGATTTCGTCAACCGGAAGTACTATCCAGAGGAAGTTGTCAGCTATGATGGTGGGCGGGTTGTGAACCTTTTTATTCATTTCTTCAAATTTTTTTTGATGCTACTAATACATTAAGGGTATTATTATACAATACTAATTTAGTGTTAGATATTTACTTCAAATTGCTAAAACTTTTGTTAAATATAGATATAATAATGTTTTAAGAGAATTGTTTTAAAGATGGAAAAAAATATGAGAGAATTGGTTAGATATTCCATTCTTATATAGATTAGGCCTTGTTCTAGATCCTAGGTATAATTACACGTAGTTGACTGTATAATTACTGAGATAGGAGCATTAGGACATGATTATATGTCTTATTTGACTAACTTTAAACAAAAATTGGATAGTCTTTTTCTTTATGAGAAACAGGTAAAATGGAAGTGGAACGTTCAAGAGAGAGGATCAGGACCTAATGCACCCTCCGTCAAGGATCGAGCAAGTGGACGTATGTGGAATGTGGCGGAAGTAGCAACTCCAGCTCATACATACATGGACCAAATGAGCTGAATCGCACTACAAGTTGACTGTCCTTTATGACGATGAAGGAGTAACATGGTATGGATATCTTCAATGGTGGAACCAACATGAGAGTCGATTCCCTATTGTAGCCCAAATGGCACGTGACATTTTATCTATGCCAGTTTTTACAATTGCATCCGAGTCAACATTTTTAAGTGGTCGGATTGTGAAATAAGGCCTCTATGTACGCGGTTTGTGGGGATATTGCAGTTTATTTGTCATTATGTTCAGTTCAGACAATGAAAGGCTTTCTGTTTTCATCTTCATTTTTGTTTTATCTTTCCTTCAATTTGAGATTTATGCTTTGAGAGTACTTTAACGCTTATGTTCTATCGTTTGATTGATTGAGGATGGACATGTTGGGTGTCCAACAATTATTTTGAATTTTTTTTTTTTTTTTGGGGGGGGTGGGGGTGTATGTTGGTATGATGGGCTAAGATTGACTCTTTTGAGGCAAAGTATTTGCCTCTTTTGAATTGTAAATAAATGGAGAAAACCAAAGTGGTTTTGGGCAGGAGAGACATGCAACGCAGGGGAGGGAGAAAGTGCTAAAAACAGTTTTTCAGCAACTATCCAACGATGAATCTTGCTCCGTTTTGGCTCAAATTTCATAGTGTATGTTGACGACAAAATCTTACATCCAATGGTTAATTTCTCGATAGTCCTCTTCTTGTCATGTTTGGTGAGATCGCCCATTTTCTCTATTTGATGTTTTTCTATTAAAATCTATTTTGGTAGGATGATGATTGATGATATTGTATAGCCTCAATTTTACTATTATAGTGGAAGTTGATATCGGACTACGGTCCCGTGGTTTTTCCCATTTAGGTTTTCCACATAAAATTTGTGTCTGCTTGCGATGATTGTGTCTTGTCTTTTGTTGGTGGTTGATTTAAATATTGGACTAATTTGTTAACCCATTTAAAATCACAGAAAGTGGGAAAATTTATTTTCTTAGATTTTTCTCTGCACCCGATTAAGGTTTTCCCAAGAGAAGGGGACAATTCCTTGCCATTTGGATTCATTGCTCAAGTATGAATTTGTTGCCTCCTGAAAGATACGGAGACAGACACAAAACATTGCTGAAATTTTCCTGAGGATTTGTTCTAAAAGTTTAAACTTCTTTTAGAATTAACAAGAAATGACAACGCTTTTAATAAATAAATAAAACCTTCATAAGTTGTAAACATAAGAATCGAAAGCTTCAAAGTAGACATAAATTTAGTAACATACTGTTGATTCAAAATAGAAGCTATTATGGAATTTTTTTTTTTTAAATATAAAGGCACTAGAAAAGCTTCTCTTAATTCTCATTTAAAGCATTACGAGATTAACTGACATTTGATCAGCATATGCACTCTTGCAAACCATGCCTCTTTTCACTTGCAAAATCTCCAATACATCATCATGCTAATCACAATATATGAAACATGTTTTCACTTATATTCTTTCACTTTTGAAACATGTTTTAGATATCCAAAGTTCATTGCATTTCCACTTTCACACACAGCAATAATCATGCCTGAGACTCAGTGAAATGTTGCACTTCGATTCCTAGTTGTTGGAAAGCAAACGGCGTTTACCTTGTGAAAGTTCTTTGTTTCCCTCATCTTTTTGGCTTGACTACCAGTGAAATTTTCTCTATCCCCAGAAACACGTGGGTTTCTTTGGGTTCCGTTAATCACTACAGAAAAACTGGCATTCTGCGTCTAGCAAAATTAGACGCAGAAAGTCACATTTAGACGCTAAGCCATTTTTAGCGTCTAAATTCGGTTGTCGCCCCCTTAGTTGCAGTAGGCTGGTCGCAGATATAGCGGTCTATATGTGGGTTTAGACGCAAAAAGTTTTTTTTTTTTTTGCGACTATCAAAATAGTCGGCAAATGGTGTTCAAAATAGTCCCCCAACTTAGACGCTAAAAGTTGAAGGGTAATTTGGTAAAATTGTATGTGACAACAATTAGTTGCAAATGTTAGTTTAGTGTCTAATAATTTGTCGCGAATCCCACACAAATTAGACGCCAAAGGTGTAAGGGTAATTTCGTCAAAGGCTTTCGCAACTATTTTATTAGTCGACGAAGTGATCTTTTTGTGACCAAACTTGGGTAATTGAACTCTTTAGATGCTGAATGGAGAATCCAAACGGTTTTCGCGACATTATATTAGTGGCCGAATGTATCTTTTGGTGACTAAAATTTAGGTTAATTATAGTAATTTTAGATGCTGAATGTGGGAATCCAATAGGTTTTCACGACTATTTTATTAGTGGCCGAAAATCTTTTGGTGACTAAAATTTAGTAGTTATATAGTCATTTTAGACGCTGATGTGAAATCCAATAAGTTTTTGTGACTATTTATTAGTGGCCGAATGTATCTTTTAGTGACAAAAATTTAGTGATTAATGTTATTTTAGACGCTGAATGTAAAATCTAATAAGTTTTTGTGACTATTTATTAGTGGCCGAATGTATCTTTTAGTGACAAAAATTTAGTGGTTAATTGTTATCATTTTAGACGCTGAATGTGAAACAAAATGTTACGCGACTATTTTTAGACGCTGATATGGAATCAATTATACTAAATTACTTTTTGACTAAAACATTAGTTGCAGAATGTGTTTTTTTGAGCATTTCATATTGACGTCCACCGGAATGCAATTATGCAAATGACTTTTTGCTACTAAAAAATTAGTTGCAGAATGTGTTTTTTCAGCATTTCGTATTGACCTACATTACATTCAACATGAACAAAATAATAGACACAATATAAAAATCTGATCACTAAATCAAAAATCATATTTTATACATATATAGTCCATACATGGATTTTTATGCATGATGAGCAATAAAATCCAAAATGCAATATCACATGTGCATAACCCAAAAGAACAGCATGCACCCAATTTTCCTTTCTCTACCTATCTATCTGTGCATAACTAACAAAAAAATGCCCACCCATGTACACCATCTAAACACATAATGCAACAATCCTAAAAAGATGGTTCTACCCCCATGGCAAAATATTTTTGTCAATAAAAAACAAAAAAAACCTTCAATACCAAGCATGTCAAGTGTCACCACTTCCAGTATTTGAAATAGCTGTAGCTGATGAGGACGAGTCATCATCACTTCGAGAAGGCAAGTGTTGTCGAGTTGGAGCTTTATCAGATTTCTCTAGCTCAAGGGCATTGTTAGCTGCTTCATCATCTCAACAGGATGAATTGTTGGTGTTCAAGGCTTTTTATTTCTCTTTTTGTTGATCAAATAAGATTAGCTGGTCCCAACTGTTTAATCTTATTTTCTGTGTTGCACAATGCACCTTAACTCAGCTTCTGCTGCAGTGGATTGATGTCAATTGTGAAAATGCAAAATTTGTTAAATCGGAAGCTTTACCCAGAAATCCTACAATATCTCAGCTTCTGTTTTTTCACTTTCCCTGCTTGTGTTCCTCTTGCAGCTCTATCATTTTTCACATCAATTGAATGCTAATCAATAAGTCAACCAACAAACCAAATAGCAACATAAAAGATACTACAGCAGCAAAGGAAAATAAGTCTGATGGAGTAGAGAAGCAAGATCTCAAACATTATCAATCTAATACTAAAAGGAAATTTCTGACATAAAGTTTTTTTTATACACATATAAGCAA